ATCTGCTTATAAGACATATAACTGAGAAATTTTCTGCCAAAACATATACCAAAAGAACATAAGTAAATGTTTGGAGGTGAAGAATGTGGTAATTATCTCATTGTCCTGATTGTACCATTATGTGTGAATATGACCACATTCATCAAACTGTATGTGTTAAGCTATTGTAATGTAAAAACTATCACTGTGACACTTGTTATGGCTTTCTACTTATAATCAAGCTTTAAGACAGTGAACAATACATGCCTTGTCTTAATATCTTCAGCAACTTTGAAAAGTGGCCCATATTATACTCATTTTTCAGATAAAGCATTTGAAGCTAAGAGAAGTTAATGTCCTAAGCATACTTGTGTGTGCATGTCCACAAACATTTATGTTCACATGTATATGCACCTACACATGCATACATCCACAAAAAATACAGAAATTGCTGGCTTAAAAACAAAAGCAAAAACTAATAAGACACTTGCAAAAAACCAAGTCACACTAGAAAGACTCCAGTGATTCATCTTGCGACTCACTTTCAAATCCTCTTACTTGCTGACTGCAAAAGGCACTTGGAATGCATTTTTGAGGAAGAGGGATTTAAAAATCTTCAGACAACATTTCTTGATGAAACAGAGTTCAAGCTGTAAGGCAGGCTGCCTTACAGGATGCCAATCCTCCTGCCTCAGGCACTTAAGTGATAGCCTTGTAAAGATGTGTGTCATGCCTGGGATTATTTCTACAGTAAGAGTATACATTGTTTGTGTTTCCTCTCTTAAATTAAAAAAAAAAAAAAAAAAAAAAAAAAACTTAGAAATAGTGATGTATCTGTCTTGGTTACTATTGCTGTGAAGAGACACCAGGACCAAAGCAACTCTTGTGAAACTAAAACATTTAACTGGGGGCTTGCTTACAGCTTCTGGAGGGTTACCATTATCATCGGGGCAGGAAGCAGACAGGCATGGCTCTGGAGCAGTAGCGGAGAGTTTTGCATCCTGACCCACAGGCATTAGGAAGACAGAGACACTTTGACTGGTGTGGAGTTTTTTTAATTATTTTTTTATTAATCACAGTTTATTCACTTTGTATCCCAGCTGTAGCCGCCTCCCTTTTGTTCTCCCAACCCCACCCTCCCTCCCTCTTCTCCCATGCCCCTCTCCCAGTCCACTGATAGGAGGAGTCCTCCTCCCCTTCCATCTGACCCTAGCCTATCAGGTCTCCTCAAGGCTGGCTGCATTGTCTTCCTCTGCGGCTTGGTAAGGCTGCTTCCCCCTCAGGGGGAGGCGATCAAGGAGCCAGCTACTGAGTTCAAGCCAGAGACAGTCCCGTTCCCATTACTAGAAAACCCAGTTGGCCACTGAGCTGGCCTGGGCTACATCTGTGGAATTTTGGAACCTCAAAACCTACACACCCTCCAACACCGCCACATTTCTAATTCTTCCTAAAACAACGGGGAAACCAAACATCCAAATATGTGATTCTGGGGGAAGGGTGTTGGGGGGTGGCATTTTCATTCTTTCAAACCACATTGCCTAATGACACATTATAAAGTATGGCCATTTTTCTATAAAACTTGGAAAATATATCAGTAATCTACCTCTCACCTGCTTCTAGTCAGCCGCTGATAAAAGATTAGTAATATATGTACTGGAAACTAATAGAGGGTTGGAATAAAATCAGTTTTTGATGCACATAAAATTTTTCTCATCAGTGGACTTGGAAGGGGGCAGGGAGGAGATGAGGGAGGGAGGGTGGGATTGGGAGGGAAAGAGAGAGGGAACTAAGGCTAGGATAAAAGTGAATGACCTGTGATTAAAAGAAAAAGAAAAAAGAAAAAAAAACAAGTATAATTACTAAATAAACTGTGAAAAATTTTTATAATGGAATAGTATGTAACAATGAAAATAATAAATTAAATAAGCACACAAAATTTTTTTTCTCATCTTTGTTTAGTAATGCGCCATTAAACTTTTGGCAAACTTATTTCACAGAAAATTAAAACAGATTTATCAATAAAATCTCTAAATGTACCGTTTGCCTAAATAGTTGTAATAGATTAATTATGGTATTTATCATATATTTTCAATATTAACTAATGCCAATACTGTCTCTTTAATATTTTCAAGGAAATTTTAATAAATATATAGAAGACAAAGTGCCCTCAGACCAAGTGATGTAATTTTAGAGTCAAGAATATATTTTCCTCCCTCAACAAAACTCCTCATTACATCCTGCTGTATAAATGCTTTGCACAGATGAACCAGGTATATCTTTTACAAATACTTTCATTTTTTTGAATGTTTTATATATGTTTACAGTATATACTGATCACACCCTTCGACCACTACCTCTCTTTAACTCTTCTTAGTTCCCCAACGCCATCTCCTTCCCAACTTCATGTCCTCTTGATTTTTATTGTCATTAATAAGATAATGTTTGGTTGATATTATTTTATAATTTTATGTTCAATAACCCATATAAAATATGAAACCTCAGTAGGAATAGACTATAAAATGTCTTTAAAGCTTTAATAACCTTTTACCCTTTTCTATCAATTTCAATGCTGTGTTTTTTCCATATGTTATTCAGAGCCATTGAGTCATTCCTTTTCTGTCTTCATCCATCACAGGCGTTCTTCCACTTTGGCCAGAAAGCTATTTGTGGTGAATGAGCCTCTCATTAATACTTTAATTATTCCAGGCTTAGATCTGAATGTCCTGGATATTAATTACTTTAAGGTGAGTCATTCCCAAAATGAATTATTTGGTTTCTTCCCAGATTCTAAGATGTAAGCAAATCATTACCAATTTCATTAAATGCAAAATGAAGATAAAAATTAAAACCGTATTTTTTTTTCTTGAACTTCTCAAAGTCTGTTATGTAACGTAGGTGATGTCACATGCTCTGACCTTTTATAGTTGAGGATGGCTGTGTCATGACAAGTTGTTATAAGAGGAATTTTATTTCTTTAAACTGGCAAGCATTTAATAAGACTTAACAAAAAACATCCAGTCTTTGCATGAAAAAAAAAATCCTGTTTATTATTTAGATCCTTTGGCTGAGCTTTGTAGCTGAGATATTAGGAACTTTCCATAGAGGTCTTTATGCACACAGATGAGCCCCGGAGAAGCCAGGAAAAGTTAAACACATAGGCTCACCTCTTCAAAGGAAGAGTATATTGACCTGTCCCCCTCCCAGAATTCTGGGAAAGGACGTAGTTTACAACCTTGTGCCATCTGTAGAGCCTAACTTCACCCATATGTCTCCCAGAAATTATGAAAAAACTCTTAATATTTATATGGAACCAAGAATATTTCAAATAACCAAAGAGATATTGGAAAAGAATAATGAAGCCAGAGGTTTCACGCCTGTGGTATCAAATTATACTTTAAACCTGTATTTGAAACAACAATTTAAGCAGTGTGGTATACTTGCAGTGGTGCAAAGAGAGGACATGCATCTGCAAATCATCTTTGAAGGATTTCCAGGAACTCTAAATAGTGCAAAAGACAGCCACTCTGTAAGGACAAATCTGAAGATCTGAGCAGTGTAAACTCCAGTGTTACTCGGCATGGGGAGGGTACTACAGCTGTTGAAGATTCATGCCCAAACCAAGCTTCACAAGTGTTCTCTCTTACAGGCTTTACACTTCTATTTTTACGTTTAAGTCTACAAATCATTTTGATCTCGTTTGTGATGACTTTGATATTTGGATTCTAGTTCTTTTTGATTGATTCAATTTGTTCTTTGACAATTGCATATATATATGCCTTCTGTTTCCTTCTCGCCACCATCATTCCTATTTCCTCCCCTCAGATCCTGCTCCACATTCATGCCTTTTTTGTGATCAGTGGATTTTAAACAGAACTGTCTGTGTGGGTCACAGATATGAAACTCATATCGTTAATGGCTGGGTTTATAGTGCTGCGAATATTATTTCTTCCTGTTTAACAGGCCTCGAAGCCAAGGCAAGAAGAGTTGGTTACCCCTGTAGCAGTCATGTCACTGTTTCACCGTTGGGTACATCTTCCTTAGCAAGTTGCCATTTCAGTTTTCAGAGTTTACAGCTGGATAAGACTATTGGTGCCCAATCTTCCAGCATCCTACATAGAGACCTCTGGTGCTATGTATGCTAGCTAGTAGAAAAGAAATCCACAACTGAACTCCAGTTTCTTCACACTATATCCGGCAAGCAAGGTATGTGGTTTCTAGATCTAATGCAGGGAGACAACTGCTTATTTTCACAAAATTATTGGTTTAAATATTTGTTAAGTACCATGTCTAAGGCATAGGGAAATCTATTTTTGTACTATAATTTGTAGTGTATTCACCTGCCTAAAAGATCTAAGTACTGTAATATTTCTAAACCTCAAAGTATAACAGATTCAGTTAAAGAAAATGACCAACATCAGAAAAATATAATGTGTATGTCATTTATTGTAATAGATTATTTTCCCTTTGAATTCTGCTCAGTATGCTATTATATAGATTTAAGGAAACCATTCTGAAAATTACTCCTTGTAGAATTTGTTCAAAACCTATGTGAGCCAAAAAGTAAAAAGAAAAAATATCTAAGAAATACAGATAATTAAAAGAACAAACACTTACTTAAACTTTATTTAGAGATAAAACCAGTTTTAAGTTAGTCTACAGCATGGATAAAATGAGGCATTTTACTGGGGCTGTGAGATCTAAGATATCTAAGACAGAAATTCAACAAGCAAGAGATAACAGAACAATCTATTTTCTTGCCTACGAGCAAATAATAGAGTCAAGCCTTTCATACCAAATCAGAAAAGGGTTTAAATGAAATCAAAGAAACAAAACCCAGGAAACTGGGAAGTCACAACCTTTAAAACACTAAGATGACATTTTCCCCTTAAGCCACCGAAAAAGAAAACTATGAAAGCTATGGTAGCTTCAAAACAACTCACAGCAATATGACAGTGGTCACTCAACATATTCACCACGTATATTTGTTGAATAGATGTCTTTAGTTCACCAATCTGAACATCCCTGCCCCTAGAGGCATTGCAAGTGTGGCTGCTGTATCACATGACTGTCAGTAGGTGGCAGAGAGGAGAGAGGCTGTGTGTGTGCTCAGTGCCCTGACCTATGAACATCTGAATGATTAGTAGCCTAACATTCCCTGAAAAAAAGCAAGCTAGCCTGAGATGACCACCGGTAGGGCACAGCACAGCCCTGGCATTGGGGAAGTGAAGACCATGTCTGAGATGCCCCCTGACTGGCTTCATAATAAGCAAGTGGGGCATAGCACCCCTGAAACCACTACTAGGATGACCCCAGACACCCAGAGACCCCAGGTGCCACTAAAAGGAGCAAGTAAGTGGTGGAAAAATCAAAGAGAGACAGAAGGATGTGGGCATGGTGAAGAGAGGCAGAACTGGAGACTTGAGGGTAGTAAGGAACAGTCTGATATAAGTAGCCAGTGATGGCACCTAAGAGCACGGAGTCTAGGCATCTGCTGCTACAGGGGGCCACACCCGTGTTCATAGACCTGTATCAGCAGGGGTCTGTTACCACCAAAGGGCAGGTAGGTATCCCTGGTCTGGGCTGCTGCCTGGGGACATGTTGATTGGTTTGAGCCATGTTGCATTTCCTGGGAAAGGTACATGACTGTTCCGTGAGTGACCTCCTTGAGGCAAGCCCTTAGAGCTTCTCTCCCACCTGACAAGGACAAGTGGGAATGATATCCGGAACAACTGCATCAGTTTTCAAAAGACGAGGCCATGGTTCCTGCTTATTTAAAGGTTTAGTGAAGACATTATTGGCCAAGACCTTTAAAAAGATTCCTTAGTATATAGTCTTAAAAAAATGATTAAAAAATATTTGAGAGGAGAGAAAGGGCTTAGAAATGTCAAGTACTTCTTCTGAAGACCTAAGTATGCCAATACATTGGAGTGAGGGAAAAGTTCAAAACCAACTAAGAGAAGATAGGGCCTAAAGAGATAGAGGAAGGCCCTAAATGTCAACAGTAAAGAGACCATTCTCAGGACAAGTTAGTTCATTTTTAGGACAAGCTAGTACATAAAATTTGCTATGCTCTTAAAAGAAATGTAAGTTGGATAGATTCATCTTTGCTTTGGACAGGGACTTATATAGAAGGGAAAAATAGTATGGGTTCATGAAAAAAATGTTAACTGTTAGTTTCTGCTCTATGAAAAAGCTGTATAGAGTAGGACCATACTATAAAATTAGACATAAAAATGGCAGATAAGACAACTTAAAACATATGATGAGCATAATGAATTAGACTGTGATAAGATGCAAAGGTTATATTGCTGTTAAATGTTTATTCTTGGATTCTAGTTATTTTTTTCTTTGAAACTGCATTTCTGCTGCCAGCCTGCACAGAAATCAAACTGGCTAGAGATAATCATTTGGCTTGCAATACAGTAGTTAAATCATTTGCCTTGCTATATTTGGGTATGCTTAGCTATGACATAATAATTTAGATTGTAATACTCTACTACTTAGAATTGGGTCAAGGTTAATTACTGCCAGAAGGGGAAACTTAAAAGTACTTGTTGAGATTTTTGGATAACTATTAAAGGGAAATCTAATGCTGCCTATGCCTGAATGCTCTGAAATTCTGTATAAATAAAGATGGCTCAAGCCATTCGGGGTCACCTGCTCAAATTTCAACAAGTGGTTAGAGTCTTCCTTTCCATGGACTCCACAACTCCATACAAGGTTACTGAACCCACTGGATTCAGACGCTGGCAGTTGATATCTGAAGGCTCTGCAGAACTGACCCCACCCCTCACCTGGGCATCATGGAAGAGCTGGCTCTGGGGAGTGTGAAAACAAGAGAGCTTACCTCACCAACTGCAGTACTCAGGAGAGCAGGTCCTGCACATTGTGGGAGTTGTAGGTGAACCAGACTGAGGATATGATTGTGGGAGACCTGGCCCTACCCCTCATCTCCCATGCAGTGGCAGGGACAAGGGAGAGACATTCCCCCCTCCCTTCACCTGCAGAAGGCAGGAGACTTGGCTCTGAGATCATGGGAACAGGACAGCTACCCTACTCAAGAGAGTAAGCCCTGTACCACAGTAGGATAGCACAGTAGAGCTAACCCTGGTGGCAGAGGAAGAGTAAACTGGCCATCCACTTGTCCACCCAGGAGTAACATAAGCAAGTGAGAGATGACACCCCCCCTTGTCCCTTACCAACTATGGCAAGCAGGAGAGTTGGCCCAAGGTCATCAGAACAGGAGAGCTGGCCCTGCCCCTCACCTGCTGCAGCGCTTGGGAAAGCAGGCCCTCTGTACCTTGCCTGGGCAGCGCAGTAGACCTGGCCCTGTATGGGAAGGTTGTGGGTAAGCTGCCCTGAGGCTGTGAGTATGAGAGAACCAACCCTGCCTCTTGTCTGCTGGGTGATGGTAGACAATCCCCCTTCCCTCCCTCATCCCTATCCACTTATGGCAGGCAGGGTCTTAAGTGTGGGAGAACCAGCCACGTCCTTCACCAGCTGCAACACTGGGGAAAGCAGACCCTGCACATCACCTGGGTGACAGGGTAGAGAGCTGGCCCAAAGGGCATGAGGATGGGAGAGCTGGTACTGGGACCAGTCCTCTCAGACCCAGACGCAGGGCTTTAACTTGGCCCATCCCAACATTTACCCTATTGGTGAACTACTGTAATCCGTGATGACACAAAACTATAGGATCTCCATGACACAGGGCAAGAACAGGCTATCTGAGAGGAGTCCCAGGGAGGCTCCCGTAATGATAAGAGTAGCTGAAGCCAGAGGCCTCCCTGGTACCAGACCAACAAGTCATTGCAGTGAACATTTGAAAGCAAGAAGTGCACACAAAAAGACACACTGTGAAACACTACGGCATCCACAATGAGATTTTTATTTTTTCTCTGTTGTGGGGAGGTTGCAAGGGTGGAATACAGAGAGAAAGAGATGAGTGGGATTGGGGTGCAGGGTGTGAAATTACGAAGAGCAATAAAACCTTAAAAAAAAAAAGATTAACATCAAGGGCAACCCTTTCATTGTGAAAAAGAGAGAGAGAGAGAGAGAGGAAGAAAGAGAGAGAGAGAAAGAGAGAAAGAAAAAAAAGAAACTGGGTTTTTCCCTCTCATTATCATATTAGTTACTTTTCTTGTTATTGTAACAAAATATTTGACGCAACCACCTTAAAGTAGAAATTGTTTGGCCCACGGGTTGAAGGAATGTTCCACCACAGGAGAAATTTGTGGCAGCAGGAGCGTGAAGCTACTGGTCACCACTGTGTCCATAATCAAGAGGCAGAAAGAGATGAACACTGCTTCTCAGCTTTTCTCTTTACTGTTGAGCTCAGGGCCCCAGATCATAAAACAGTGCTGCCCACATCAGAGTAGGTTCCCCCTGCCCAGTTAAGCCTTTCTGAATACATTCTCATGACAAACCCAAAGGTGTGTTTCCATGGCAATTCTAAATCCTGCCACATGTATAATGAAGATTATTCATTACATTGTCTATGAATGACAGCACCTCTGGAGATGAAAAGCCACGCGTGTAATACATGCACTAATGTGTATGGGCGGTTCGTAATTCTACTTGAAAAAAAAAAACTGTTTCTGCTTTGGGCTCCCAAATAGAGTTATGATTTAAAGCTACACGGTTATCATTTCTCACAAGGCCTTGCCATAGGGACTGTATGCTTAAAATTCAAAATCAGTTCTCTTCAGAACGGTAGAAAAAGAGGAAAATCTTTTTTGCTAGAGAGAATGTAATAATAAAAAGATGATGCCCATGCAAATTGTCTTCCCAGGGCTATAAATGTTCCTAAACCTCTCTTTTCCATTCATTCTTCCCCAGATGCTTTTGTTTAATAAGAAGGGTATTTTTCAGCTATTTCTAGAAGCCAGGATTGGGTCCCATACACCCATAGTCAGGCATCTTCACCCACATCAACATTAACCAATCACAAAGTTCTCTTTCTAATTCACTCTTCAGCAGACTCTGGGGAGCCCATTAGGAAGAATTTCATACAGGAAGGCCATAACTGAGCATGCCAATCAGAAGAAGAAAGAGAGAACATGCACAGAAGGAAATGCGAGCAGTTGACATGGGGCAGTAGATTTCTTCTCTCTAGAGAAATGTAGATTCCTATGAATCAATGCCTTCCACACAAAATCACCTCCTATCAAAGGAAAATACTAAGGAGAGGTGAGGGCAAGAAGGAAGAACAGCTCAGGGACTGGGAGTAGCTCAGATGGGAGAGTTCTTGTCCAACATGTTCACTGAGCTCTGTCTCTGAACTGTATAAACTGGGCATGGCAGCATCCATACTCTTGGGAGACAGAACACTGGGTTCAGAACTTCCATTACTGTCAACTACATAACAAGTTCCAGAGTTGCAGAGCAGCTTGTGATACAAAAGACCCTGATTAGAAGGAGGAACACGAGAAAGGCAGGAAGAGGAACTATGCAGGAGAGCTGCTATTGTGTATTCTCTTTACAGTCTCAGAGGCAACCTTGTTATTTAGTCTTTTATTTAAGGCAGATATTATCTCACTAGAAGGAGGAGGAGGAGGAGGAGGAGAAGGAGGAGGAGAAAAGGAAATCAAGGTACCAGAAGATATCTTAGTTAGGAAGAGCCCTTGCTGTGAAGTTATAAGAACCTGAGTTCAAATTCCTAGCACCTATATACAAAGCCAGGCATGGCCCATGTGTGTCTGCAATTTCTGCACTGAAAGAAGAGAAGAGCAAGAACAAAGAGATCATTCGAACTCACTAGCTGCCTGACTGTCTCAGGTTCAAGGAGAGAGCCTGCCTCAAAGGAATAAGGCAGAGAGGGATAGAGCAGGAACACACACACACACACACACACACACACACACACACACACACACACACATTATATCTACCTATGGGAGAGAGACAATAAAGGAAGGAAGGATGGAAGGAAGAAAGGAAGGAAGGAAGAAAGGAAGGAAGGAAGGAAGGAAAGAAAGAAGGAAAGGAGGGAGAGTGGAAGGAAGGAAGGAAGGAAGGAAGGAAGGAAGGAAGAAAGGAAGGAAGGAAGGAAGGAAGGAAGGAAGGAAGGAAGGAAGGAAGGAAGGAAGGAAGGAAG